TGGCGCCCCCTATGGGCACTCTCAGGTTCCCATAGACCCCCATAGCGCCCCCTATGGGCACTCTCAGGTTGGCACAGAGCCCTGGCCCCGCCCCTGGCCCCGCCCCCGGCCCCGCCCCCGCGTGGGCCGCGGGACAAGGGCGCCGCTGTGGGAGCGCCGGGGCGGGGCCGTCTCCAGGCAACGGTCACCATGGCAACGGCACAACAGCCCCCCCCCCATCAGTGCCTTACAAGGGGCGATGGCGGGGGCGGGGCCCGCCGGGCCGGCGGCTCTTAAAAGGGCAACGGCCTTAAAGGGGCCGCTCCCTCCGTGACGCGGCCAGCGCCGCCCGGGCTGGCGCAATAACGGCTGGCACCGGCCCGGGCACCGCCCAAAGCTCCCCTGCTCCCCCGGGAAGGGACCCAGACATCCGGGCTCCCTTCCCCCCCCTTCTCCAGGCCCCGCCTTTCTCACCTTCCCTGCCCCGCCCCACCCTCCCCCTCCCCGTCTCACAAGGGCGTTGTCCCTCCACGCGCCCCAAGCGGGACCGGGAGGTGCGGGGGGCGCAGGGCAGAGGTGACACCCCCCGCACACCTGGGTCCCTCCACGTGGCACCGGGAGCACCCCGAGAGCCGGGCATCCCCCCCATGGAGGGGACCCGGTGTCCCGCTGCACACCCCCCTCCCCAAAACGGGCACCCAGGTGTCTCGGTACCCCCCGCTCCCTTTCCAAGTAGAGAATTTTCCTAACGCCCAAACCGGGATCCCGGCATCCCGCTGCTCCAGGGAACCCCCACGTGTGGCGGTGTCCGCCCAGACCCACCCGCAATGGGGATCCAGGTGTCCTGCCGCCCCCTCCCATAACCGGTGATTCCAGACCGGCCCCGGCTGGTCCACACCGGGCACTCCCGGCACTCCTTCCCCCGGAATGGGCGCCCCGGCGTGCACCCCCTACCCCCCAAAGAGCCGGGCACCCATCATGCTGCCCCTTCGAGCCCGGAGCGGGACATGCCCGTCCTCCCCCGCCCCACTCGGCACGCAGCAATGTCCCGCTGTGCCCACCCCCGGTGCCCCCACGCGCGGTTCCCCCGTGTCTCACGATCTCGCCGATGAGCACCAGCCCCTTGCGGGTGCGGCTGAAGGCCAGGCAGGTGCCGGGGCAGCTCTGGGCCCCGCCGGACTCCATGGCGGCACCGGGACCGGGCGGCACCGA